GTTTAGGCACATGCAGGTTTGGGGGGGACTGACGGGGAGGGGCCAAGTGCACGTGGGCTCATGCAGGTGGGGACTAGGGGGAAAGGGGCCAGTGCGCGTTGGCTTGTGCGGGTGAGGGGCAGCAGGAATGGGGGTGTCGGAGGCAAGGCTGGGGGGGAAGCATTTCACAGGGCGTCCAGGGGAGCCGAAGCGGAGAGGGTAGCAGGGGCTGCTGCACCGAGGGTTGGGGACCATGCGCCTGGCAGGGCGTCGCCCGCGTCTTGTGCTGCCAATTGAATAAGCGGCCGTGCGTGCCGATGGTGAGGGACAGGTGGCGTGCTTTAGACCCTAGCAGCTGCCATGCCCCGCTGCAGGCCCAAGCAGCGTTTCGCGCCACCCGTGACCAGCGCTAGTATCTCCCCTCCTGCCCCTTCGAAGCTCCGCAAGCGTCTGCATTCCAACTCCTGACGACTGTCACCTGCACAAGACCCCAAAGACCCCTTGTGCGGCTCACTGCGTAACCCCGTCCCCCAGAACCCGTCCTATTACGACCTGGAGGACACGTCACCCGAGGGCGTCAGCGAGTTCCTGTCGTCACTCGTGGAGGGCGTCCTGCGGCAGCTGGAGGACGACGGCTGCGTGGAGGTGCGCCGCGGCTGCTCTTGTCGCCAGCAACGCGGCGGTGGTGCGCGGTCGCTTGATTTGGTAGTGAAAACCCCTCGGCCCCGCGCCGCAGCAGCCTTTGCATGAACGCAACCAGTAAAATTGGGGAGTTCACGAGGATAAAGGGGCCGCATCCCAATTCACCTGAATTTCCTCACGCACCCTTGGCTTTGTCCTGAATAAGTGCCCCTGCACCGGCGCAGCCGGGTGCCGAGCCGCACACGCCTGAGCTCTGGCAGCGCAGTCGCGGCGGGCAGGCGTCCGTCCGCGCTGCCTCCCCCTCAACCACCACAAATCTTTTGATCATCACAAATCTGCTATCGAATCTGACACCCACGCAATTCACACACAGTTCCCAGGCAGGAATGCGAAGCACCCCACCACCGCCATCCCCCTCCTCTGCCCCCCCACCAAAACACCTCCGCAGCTTGATGGAGAGGATGAGGGGTGCGTGGCCCCCACCCCCCTGGGTCGCGTGGCGTCGTTCTACTACCTGCGCCACGCCACCGCGGGGCTGCTGGCGCGCGCGTTCAGGGGCAGGCAGCTGGGGCACCAGCAGGTGGGGTGGGGGGCTTTGGTGTGTGTGTGTGGGGGGGGGGGGCTAGTGATGATGTGTTTGAGGTGTGTTGCGAAGGGAGGTGGGAATGGGCTCGGGGCAAGTGGGCGCTGTGAGCGCACCAGATTTTCCATGTGGTGTCCAGCCGAGAGCGATCTCCACGTTCTGGTCAACCCCTGAACCCCGCTCGCTCTTTGTTCTGCAAGTTCGCTGCAAAGAGCAGCCTGAGCAGACCCAAGCCGAACGCCCCGCGCCGCACACAGCTCGCACCAACCCCCATCCCGCCTGTACCACACCCAGGCCCTCTCATCTTCCTGAGTGTTGCACCCACAGCCATTACCAAACCTCCCCCACCCACCCATCGACCCGCCACCCCTCTTCCCTCCTTCAAGCCACACTTGACCCCAAATTTCCAACCCTACCTGAAATCCTGTCATCCCCACCCCCCAGGTCCTTGAGGTGCTGTGCTGCTGCAGTGAGTACGACGAGCTGCCCGTGAGGCACAACGAGGACAAGCTCAACGCTGAGCTGTCAAAGGAGGTGCGGGGGCTGGCCCTGGGAGCGGGCCACGGGGGGTGGGGTTGGGCCGGGGGGAGGGGGGCAGGTCAAGAGCCGGAATGCTTTATGCGTCCAGGGTTCTGCTGGGAAACGCGGATCGTCTGGTGCACTGGCGTGTGCCCGGGGGGTTGGCACAAAGGGGGCGTGGCGGCTGTGGTGGAGCCAGCTTCTGTCATGTGATCAACTGCCGGCTTGTCATCCTTTGAGCTCCTGGTCGGCCCTGCCTTAATTCTCCCCCCCCGTCCAGGTGCGGTGGCCGCTGGACACCTTTGGGCGCGGCGCGGCCAAGAACCCTGGCCTGCCGGGCGGCAAGCGGCTGGGCGGGTACGACGACCCGCACGCCAAGGTGGGCGGGTGCTCACGCAGCAGATGAGGGCGCATACATGCCATGGGTGGGACAAACGACATGACGCTCGCAGCACGCCCACGGCTGCTTGGCGGGCGAAGGGCAGCCGCTTGATCTTTTGGACCACGTATAGGGCAGGCCCACCACACGGGAACTGGAATGCTGGCTTTCCACTGGACACGCGCCACATGTGCCCCAAGAAACCCCTGCCCTGCGCGTCGCCTCACCCTTGCCACCATTCGTTGTCCTGCCCCGCACTTTCATCCTGTCCCATCCCCCACCCGCACCCCTTGACCAGCCGCTCCACCCATCAACACACACACACATACACACAAACTCACACACACTCACACACACACACACACTCACACACACACACACACACACACACACACACGCTCACACTCTTACATGCACACTCTCTCACACGCACGCACCAGGCGTGCCTGCTGCTGCAGTGCCACATGGGCCGTGTGGCCCCGCCCATCAGTGACTACGCCACAGACACAAAGGGCGCCCTGGACAACAGCGTCCGCATTTGCCAGGTGAGAGGGCAGGGACAGGGCAAGGCGCTCCCCCTTGTGACTCACACACCCTCACCGCCGCGCCCTCGTGCCTACACGACTCCAGCCCCTCCTCTCGCACGCGTTGCGCCCTTGGGCGGGAGGAACGGCCCGCCAGCTGGCTGGGCAGCGGGGGGAAGTTGGGAGGGGGGAGAGCGAGGGGGGTTTGGATCCCAGCTCTGAGAGCGGCCTCTCCTGCGGGGTGGGGCGGCCCAGGGGCTGCTCAGCCCTCCCGCAGCGCGAGGCGGGTGGTGGGTGGCAGGCCTGCGGCGGCTCTGGCCAGTTCAGCGCCCCCTTCCAACATAAGCTCCTTAAACCGCGTCTCATGCGCGCCTCCACGCCTCCAAGGCGCTGGTGGATGTTGCTGCTGAGTCTGGTGCGCTGGGCACTGCACTGGCGGTGATGGAGCTGGTGCAGGGGCTGGTGCAGGCCAGGTAGTGGGGTGGGGATTTCATTGGGGCCTGATTCGGAAAGGGGGGGCAAGGTGGAAGGACGGGGTACCTGACCTGTGATTGACTAGTCAATCGATGTTTTGGGGGGACAGTTGTGGTCTCATCTCAAGGGACGACAGAGCACGGTTCGAAACATGACACTGACTTTGCCGCCGCCTCGCGAGGGCAGCCTGCCCAACGCCGAGCCCATGCACACGCGGCACGAGGCCCCACAGCCGGCGGGCCGCAGCGCCTCGCGTCGCAAACGGCCTTGTGCACCCTTGCGCGCCGATCCCCCGCAGGTGGATGGACGGGCCCTCCCTGGCGACACTGCCGCACGTGGGCGCAGCGGAGGCGCGTCAGCTTGCCGCCGCAGGGTTTAGCGCGCTGCCGCAGCTGCTGCACGCGCTCCGCGGCGGCGGCGGCGGCAGCCAGCAGCAGCAGCAGCAGCAGCAGCAGCAGCAGCAGCAGCAGCAGGGCGAGCGGCGGCGGGCGCTGCAGGCGCTCGAGAAGGCGCTCGGCCCCGCGGCGGCCAAGGAGGCGGCGGCGGTGTGCGACCGGATGCCGCTCTGCTCGGTCTCCTGGCGTGCGCCGCGGCCGGCGCCACGGGCGCGGCGGCGGGACGGCGACGGGGAGGGCGGGCCCGAGGGGCGGCAGCAGCAGGACGACGAGCGGGAGGCGGAGGGGCAGGACGAAGATCAGATGATCTTGGAGGTCGAGATCGCGCGGCTCGGCGGCAGGGGCCCGGGCGGCGGCGGCGGGGGCGGGGCCACGGCTCCAAGGGTGTACGCGCCTCGGTTCCCCAAGCTCAAGGAGGAGGGGTGGTGGCTGGTGCTGGGGGACGCAGCTTCCCGGGAGCTTCTGGCGCTGCGGCGCGTGAGCTTCGGGGGCCGCGGGACGACGGTGCGGCTCGCGTTCCCCAGGCGCGGCGCGGGTGAGTGCTCTCGTAGCGGGCGTGCCGGCTCGATGTCGGCTTGGGGCCGGGGGCCGGCTGCAATGCTGCGGCCTCGAATCAGTCTGGGCGCCTGCAACTGCTGTTCTCGGTGTTTTTGGGTGGATAAACCTTGATGCGCACTGGTGATATCGGTGCTTCCTGCCAAGACCAACGAACACTCCCACTGACACTTTGAAGAACGTGCATCGACTCTCAAAGGCGGCGCCCTGGTGCACACGGTCACGCTGTACCTCGTCAGCGACTGCTACCTCGGACTGGACCAGCAGCACCGAATCGTCG